AACTTGGGAAGGGCCATTCTGGGGTCTGGGGGGTGCTGGTGCATCCATGATAAATTGACAGTGGTGGGTGGCTTTGTGTTGGCATATAGGTAATTGGAGGGATGTACTGTTATCGGGGCACTTGTAACAAGCTGAAAGAACAGATCCACTATAACAACTACGGGAGTTTTTGGACATAATATTCTTTTGAGCTTTGCAGATGCACAGTGATTGCAGGGAGCCCTTCTCTTCCCTCCTGGAGGAAAGCAAAGCAAGCAACCGAGAGGAGGAGGGGCCGCCTGTCAGCTGACTTGAATCTGATCAAAAGAGCAGCTTGAGGCTCATCTGGTTGATTCGGTTTAAATGTTTCATGAGTTATCTCAGAATACAGATTACAATATGAAAATAAGCATAAACGTTAAAAAAGATTAAATAATGCTTCCAACACTCTTGAGGTTAGCTTCCTGCTGGGCTCATTTGTAAAATCACTTAGAATTTTTGTTTGCAGGATGAGCTAGTTTTTAAACCAGCTTTTTTAAAAAAGGAAAGGGAAGGGAAGGGAAGGGAAGGGAGGAAAAGACATGAGTATAGATGAGTCTTATAAAGCAAAGGAAGTATCTGTAGCTGGGTGGTAGGAAAGGCAGATTGAAGGCTAGGAACAGGCCTTGTGAAGGTTAGAGCCAGCGGGTCTTTGGCAGAAGGGCATGGTGCTCTTGTGTAAAGGCATACTTACACTATCGGAAATTCGTCTGAAGTGGTCGTAGTTTTTGATGATGATAATATAATGTGTGAAACTCATGATCTTTGGTCATGTCCTATGTAATCAAAAATGATTTCTCCTTATAAGCTAATCTTAAGAAGTAGCTATCTTTGTATTGTATTACTGAACCAGAAAAAAAAAAACTGTGTGTACAGAAGTATCTTTGAGATTTTAAAAGGTCGCCTTCAAACTTGCTTCTTTCAGTAGGATATCTCTATTTCTGATTTTTATCTTTAAATAATTTACTTAAAAGAATTAGTAGGTCTGTGATCCAGAGAGTGGATGGAAAAAGAGGTAAAACAGTTTTTGCTCTGCGGGCCCTTTTCCAATGGTGGGAAAATTACACCAGTTTTTTCTGTTTCGTGCCTTGGTCTCACTGGGTACCATCAACCATCCCTGCCCATCCTCATTCTTCATATAGGACCGCTCTAAGGTTCTTTTGGAATTCTGGGACACACGGGCTTTCTGAGGCCATGCAGTGAAAGAGTTTGAGGTTATATGAGCCTCATCTGATTCGGCTCTGTCTCCCCCCCCCCCCCTTTACTTCTTTCTGTCATTCTATTTATCTGTTCCTTCAGCCCTATGCTTCCCTCTCCAGCTCAGGTCTATGTGGGTAATAAAGATCCAACCAAGTCAGCTCATTTCTCCCCGCTCCCACCCTCGCCCCCAGCCCCTGTCAGTCAGCTGAGCCATTTCCATAACTATAAAATGTCGCCTAGGGAGCGACATTAAACCAGAAACAGACTCTAAAGTCTCCATTCCTTGAGGCTGAGCACAGATAACACAGACGGTTGTGGAGAGCCTGGTAACAAGTTCTGAGTTCAGTGCACGCACACGTGCACGCACGCTCGTACTTGTCGAAAACATGCTGTTTAAACATGCTTAACGTGACCTCAAGCATGTCATTTGAGGATGTCTAACACAGCAAAGGGGAAGATTCTTCAGTGACTACAGTCCGCCTGCGTCCCTCCCCAGAAGACACAGACTAACCTCTGAGATCTCTTTAAACATGAGAGCATCAAAGAGAGACTGTGTCCTGAGGTCCTGTAGCTCCCTCACCGCCTCTCCCCATGTCCCTCTGCTGCACATCAAGATTCCAGAATGATCCAAGCATTTTTCCTTGTTACCCACCAACCTCCTCATGTGCACAGATGCCCTCCTGTAAATGTTAGCCAGATCATGTGTACTCCTCTTCTAGAGAGAAGAGAATCCTCTTCTAGAAACTAGGTTGGTCTAACATTTCCTTCACATTTATAGTTACCTTCTTAGCTCTTCCCTCCACCACGTGCCCATTTCCATTGTCTGCCGACTATGTATCTGCATCCAGTAAACTATTTTACTGGCATCTGACACAGCTCAGTGGCTCTGTGTAACTCCAGCCAAACCATATCTGCTGCCAAGCCAAATGACAGAGTTCAGGGTCCTGTTGTGCACCAGATTTCTCCAAAGTGATGACAGTCACTCATTCTGGTACCCTGAATTGCTGCATCAGAGAGATTTCAGTCTCCACAAAGGCCATCATCCTGGGTGTTCACAGAACAGGAGCTGTCACTGAAACCCTGCTTCTTGCACTTGTCACTAAAGGAAGCAAGGGCTAATTCAAAGATGACAGAGCACAGTCCATCCTGTAGACCAAATTCAGCCATTAAATTAAGATGATACCATAGCAGAATATCAGGCCTGGGTGCCTTCTGCTGGAATATCCAGCAGTAAAATGGGCATTTTTTTTCTAGGATATCATAGAAAACTTTGCCAGGATAGAAGAGTCAAAAGCTCATGAGTTTCCATGACCAGTACTGATCCGCCCTCCCCCAAACCTGCATATTGGAAACATCTTAACCTTCAGGGTAGGCCATTAGATTAGGAGGTGGATCCCACACACATAGATCAGAGAGATGCCTTCTCTTTCCACTGGATCTCAAGGAAGCAAGAAGGCAGACCTGCCATTTTATAAAGCAGGAAGTGGGCTCTCACCTGACCCATCCTCCCAAACCAAGAGGAGTCCATTGCTGTTGTTTCTGTGCCCCCCCCCCCGGTTTATGAGATTCTATTGTAGCTGCCTGAATAGACAAGACACACACCCCAGAACAAGAGATAGGCATGCTTTAGGCCCTTGCCTAGGAGAAGCAGCATTCAAGACAGCCTCTTTGCTTGCTTCTCAATACCTGTGGCCAGAGTATTATGTTAAACAGTTCTGTAATACTCAACAGTAATTCCTTACCAGCTTCTATGGCCAACCATCTTCGAGAGTTGATGCAGCTTGCATAGTTACTTAGACACAGAATCAACTCACCAAGATCACTGGTACTCCTTCCTCTCTGTGTATAAACCTAGTTGACCTGGCACCCCTAACATACAAGCCATTCAAAACGTGTTTACTAAACGGGTATCGATTATGTATTCTTAATCCTCATAAAGTTGTTTAGACTTTGCCTTTGTAATTTCATAATTTACTCTGATATTAAGCAAGAAAGAAAAGTTGTTTCTAAAAAAAATGCGTATTTGGTGCTTTGGAACAGTAAAAATTAAATATGGACCAAAAAATTGGGTCCAAAAGGGGTGACTTAAGGATCCAAAGAATCACTTTCTGAGTCTGTTTGATTATTGTAATACTACCCTGACACTGGGTAGTATTTTATAAACAACAGGACTTTACTGTGCACTGTGCTTGAAGCTGAGAAGCCTAGGGTGAAGATGCCAGCAGGTCCCGTGTCTAGTGAAGATAGTCTGCCTGCAAATGTCAGCTTCTTGCTGCCTCCTCACAACGCAGAAGGGACAGGGCACATTTCTCCTCCTCTTAGAGCACCAGCCCCATCCCGTCCACCCCTTCCCAGGGTTGCCTGACACCCACATTCAAACCATAGCAGCTGCGAGTGAGTGTACAGTGAGTGTTAGTTGGTGGGTTGCTTTGTTTCTTGTTGAAGTAGAACAAGAATTTATAGGCTCGGGGACATTCAGAGAGCCGTCTGATTATAGGCTCCCAAGGCACTAGCTTGTGAAATGGCAGGACTCTGAAGTGCCCACTCCCAGAGCCCCATGCTGCTTCTCCCGGTGGCGAAGCTGCAGAGAAAGGAGCTAAGAGAAGAACATTTGAAATGAAAAGGATTGTTTCCACATAACCGTGAGAGCTGAGCTCAGGCTTCGGAGCACATCGTCACTTTTTACTTCGCTATTTTTTGAGACCCGTTTAAGGGCTGGTAAGGTAGCGGCCTCAGTAATGGAGTGCATGCTTCTTAAATGTGTGGCCCTGGGTTTGTTGCCATCAACACTTGCACGCTTTATATAACTTATATATAATATAATATGGAATATAATTCTTTATGATAATCATAAATATTTTAAGTAAATTAATATTAATAGAGCCAGTTATAGTGGTCTGGCACTAGGGAATCTGAAGCATTTGAAGTTACCTTGAATCCACATAATGAACTCCAGGCAAGAGCAGGCTTTGGAGAGAGGGTCTGACTCAAAAATAGACAAAAATTAAAAGGAGACAAAATAGCTGTTCGTGCCATTCACCAAAGAGTCGAGAAAGATTTACTTGTATACAACAGATATAAAATAATAATAAATAAATAATAGTAATAACTGTGTGTCAATTGGGGAAAAATATTAGGACAAAACTTATGAGGAAACCTACAGATGTCCCCACCCTCAAAGGACTATTTGGTCTATTTGGGGAAACACCAGAAATGTCACAAAGGGAGCTTATTTCATTGCCAGTGGAATGGTTTCTGCAGCTAAGGAAGGCTCTGAGTTCAGAAGAAGGCACGGTTGCCTCTGAACACATGACAGTCAGCAACTGTAGTACTAAAGGAAAGGAAGCAGCGAACTGCATGTTCTAGGATCCAGGACAGATAAGAGAGAGGCCTGCACGGAAGTACCCCGGGTGTGAAAGGCACTCTGGAGGTAGCCTCGGGACTCCCACATAGCTTTAGTGGGAGGCTCAGACTGAGATGGGCTCCAACTTGTTGCAAAGTTATGCTGAACTCTAAAACCTGGGCCTGTGTGGGAGTTTTGTCACTGCAATGGCTGCAAACGGGATATACGGTTCTGAATGTCAGATAGCACAGCAAACAGGAGAGGCCCTGCTGCTAGGGACGTACATGGAAAGCCTCCCTGGACCAAAGAGGACTGATCATATTCCTCATTCCCATCAGTAAAGAGCATTTTGCTTTCTGCTGAGCAGTGGTAACGACAGATAATTGGAATGTACTTTCAGGAAATGCCTGGTTTGAAGATGTTCTTTTTATTCTTGCAGGCCTCTTTTTCGAGGAAGCTCGGACGTGGATCAACTCGGGAAAATCTTGGAGTAAGTAATACTTTTATAGTCACGTACAGCATTTACAGTGGCTTTCCTCTGATGTTCTTCTCTTATCTTTCTTGCTCCAAGCTGCTGCTGAAGGCAATCTGACTAGTTGTGTGACGAGTGGGGTCAAGGTAGAAGAGCGATGTTACATGGGGCTGGTCATGACGCATAGCCTCCATGCTGTGTGCCCTGGGCGCTTTCATGTTGCCTGTTGCTTGGGTGGGTCTTTGCTGCTTCTCTATGCTTGGCTGAGCTCTGTGCACCCGCTCTGTGGTGCAGATGTGTTGTCTGCTTGTGGTCACATCAAATTTACCACTCATAAGAGATGGGACACTTGGTGTCTTGGGACCCCTGCCTGGACATCCTGTTGCCATTGAGAATCCCTGATCATTCCTGTTGGTTTTGCTTTGCGTTCCACAGCCGAGGCCAGAATGCTAGCCAATCACATCCCCCCAACACCACCCCATTCCACCCCACCCCCAGAACACCAAAATCGGGAATGAAGTCTTAAGTTCTCATCCTGGTCTGTGGCTGAGAGGAAGTCACAGGAAGCGCCCTAGAGTGGGTTTACTGCACCATGCCCTGCTCGTAATTGCTGATTTAACCCCTTTTCTTCTTTAACGTTTTCTCCTGGGCGATAGAAGGGACTCCAGTTTCTCCGTGCACTCTGTTCTCTGGCTCACTCGCTGCTTCCGGTTGTTTCCTCCATCACTCTCCGGTGATTTGCAAACTTCATTCGCACCTACGTGTTTGTGCATGTGAAGATGTGCATGCTCTCATGTCACTAGAGTGTAACCGGGACCTTTCTTGTCACGAGCCATGCTGTGTGGCATCCTTTTATGGACATGTGCTTTTGCCAAGAGAGGGAAAATGGAAAGAAATAGGGTCCTGGCTAAAAATCACCACCAGTGACACTTTTATCAATCTCAAGTGCTTTTTATGGGATTTAAAATCTGTAAGACTTGTTCCCTCTACCCACCCCCAAAATAGTGTCCCTACAGAATTACGTGTTTAAATGTGATTGCTTCAAGCCTGGAATTTACCCCAAAGCTGAGGTTCTTTCAGGAACTGGAATCTGTCCCCAGTGCTTCGAAACTGAAAGAACATTCTCTGGCTTTGCTTTGTATATTGGGGAGGTAGTTTATCTTCTTGCTGTTTTGGTCTGGTCTGGTCTGGTCTGGGGACTTCCCATACCTCATCTCCTGACAATCCTGTAAAATGGACACTTTCTCCACTGAGCTCTCTTGTTACCCTTCCTATGCATGACAAGTTCCTGTCGCTAACCGCTAGACTCATATTTTTCTCTGAGAAATGTGGAACATGTCCTGTATGCATGTGATCTTCAAGAGGGACTCCAGAAACAAAGTTGTTCTAGTCTTCCCCTGTTGAAAGGGAAGGCTATCTTGGTGGCATATGCCTGCTGGGCCCTGGAGACTGTTGCCTTCCCTTCCTTCCTTGTACCTTGTGGGATTCCTAGCCACCTCCTGCACGGTCTGGGGACCTGTACATGTACTCTCAGACCACAAAGCCAATCAGTAGGACAGAAGGGACATTTTGCTTATCCCATGGGAAAGCCTGCTTGACTTTTGGCCAAGGCCTGGCGCTCCCACATAGCTAGCAGAGAAGCAGCTGGAAAGCCTTATATGTTTGGTGCCTTTAGATTACCCATGGTTTCCGGCTTTGCTTCATTTCTCTGAGTGCTCTTAACAGAAAAAGGACAATGCTGCACCCTAGTGTCACTGCTAAACTACGTAAACAGTTATTTCCACCACAGCCGTTTATATAGTCTGTGCCCTGTCAGTCTTCCCAGTTTAAACAGTCAATGTTTAGACTTTCTGTCCAACTGTTCAAATAGTGAATTACGATGAAAGCTTTTTCTAATGAATCTGTCATGGTTTCATTAAGGCTCATGACAGTCATTACTGGACAGGAAGCTGACTTTTTTTTTTTAAAAGACATAGTCTCCTACTTTTAATAAGGTAAGCTGTAGACAGACATGTACTTTCTTTTTTCTTTTAAAGATTTATTTATTTATTTTATGTACATTAGTACACTGTAGTTGTCGTCAGACACACCAGAAGAAGGCATCAGATCACATTGCAGATGGTCGTGAGCCACCATGTGGTTGCTGGGAATTGAACTCAGGACCTTTGGAAGAGCAGTCAGTGCTCTTAACCACTGAGCCATCTTCTTTTAGAGAACGTTGAATACTTCAGAAGTAAAGCAGTGGTGTTAGGCCACGAGATTTAGAGCGTTTTCTAAGAGTGGTATCATAGTTACCGATGCTGGGCATGGAGTGAGGAGAACCGAGGCTGACCGCACGGCGTGTGACCTGGGCAGATGTTCTCCTTCCTCATTCTGTTTGTCCATCCCTGCAGTGAGGTGGCACGCCTGACCTGTGTGTCTCTCACAGCTTTCTAGAGGATTGGAGAAGACTATAGGCTGTAAGTTTTATTTGTATGTATGCATGTATTATATATGTATTATGTATGTAACCACACATTGTGTGTAGTTCATATGTATTTACATATCAGACAGACTGTTTCTCTGAAAGTGTTCAGCTTGTGACTGGTTATTCTTAAGATTTCAAATCTATAGGTATGTTCAGAGCTACTAATAACGCTCAGGAGTCTGAGATAGGAGGACTGTGAGTTTGAGACCAGCCTGGGATGCCTAGTGAAACACTATCTCAAAAGAAAAGATGCTGTCAATAAAGTGATTTAAATTCTAAGCATCATTATCATTCATTCCTAGGGGCCAGATGTTGAGGGTGTACTAAAGTCCTTGTCTAAAAGGGCAGACATTTCAAATTGCCTGTATCCCATTCTTCCCGAGCCCACCCCCTCATTACCTTTCATGGTTAGGATGGTATTTTTACCCCTTCATTACCCACTATGGACCTGGCTATTCAGCACACTTACATGTTGGCCACATCATGATTTTGCTCATGGATTCCAGGAAGTGTACCCATGAGTCTTTGTACACCTGAATAGTGTAACTCTCTGCAGAGATTACTGTGTCTCCATGGGGACACAGTTAGTGTCTGGCCTCGACACCCAAGGGCCATGTGCACTGGCAACGGTGAAGCTGCTCTTTCCAGGGAGGTCTGTGACCTAGGCTCTGTAAAGGGAAGGGAACAGTGACAAACCCCTGTAGATCCTGTGAAATTTACCACCTTCCTTCCTAAAAGATGTTAATGACCACGCCTTCTAGGCCTATGCTACAGGAAGTACTGTACATGACCTTACTTCAGGCCAGCACCATTTCTAATTAGGGGTAAAACAGTTTGGATCAGTATCTAAATTACTATAGATCCTGTCCACTAAACTGATTTTTGTCTTTTTAGCTCAGAGTTACTCAATCTGTGCACTGTCCAAATACACTTAGCACCTATACATAAGCTATAAATAATACTACATCTGGATAAATTATATAGGGCCACCTGCTTACCATTAAAACGGATACTGGCTGCATGTACTGTGTACCAGGAACTTTAATATGCAGTTTCAATAAATTACTGCCAACCCTCATATTAACCATAAATTATCGTTGTCACATACTTAAAGACCCCAGAGCTCATAGTTGTCGTGTAATTTGTCCTTACCTGTCAATTAAGGGCAGGTGCTGAATTTGAAGCCACGTCTGCCTATTTGCAAAGCCTGTGCTCGTGTTATGGCTCACTGTTTCCTCCACATTTCTGATCCCAGAATGGTAGTCAGGGAAAATCTAAATGATACTCTTTCTAGTTGACTGTCTCTCACTCTCAAATACCGTTACACAGTGCTTGCATAAAACAGGCATGACATACCTCTTAACCTTATTTTTGAGTCTAATTTATGTAATGGTTTAGAAAATTATTCTTTAATTTAAACAAATTCAGCCAAAGTAATGTGTGTCATCACAAGCCGTGCTGAATGAGCTTCGTGAAAACACATCTTCACAGAACTGTTGTATCAGAATACAAAGCAAAGTTTCAGGTGTAGGTGAAGACATATCCAGACAAGCGTAGCAGGTCCTGCCTCGTCACTACATCAGGACTTACACCAGGGGACTCTCTGCCCCATCACTAAGCCAGGACTTATCCCTGGCTACAGAAATGGCATTCACATAGACCCCTTCCATTGGATATCTGCTGCCAGGGGCAGACTCTTACTTCCCATCAGTGAAGTTTGGAGTGTCCTCTGAGTTTGTTCAATGTGGTATTAGGGTAAATGGGAAGTCCTTTCCATCACAAGGTGAGGTTCTCCCTATGCCTGCCCCATAGCATTTGCCTGCTCTAGGATTTGGTAAGGAAGGTCTTTGTGTGACTGCCAGTGTTTACATTCCCGTCTGGTTCTTCTGTAGCGTCATTGGACTCCCAGGAGAAGAAGACTGGCCTAGGGATGTTGCCCTTCCCAGGCAGGCTTTTCATTCCAAATCTGCCCAACCCATCGAGAAGTTTGTGACAGATATTGACGAACTAGGCAAAGACCTACTTCTGGTAAGTTCCTGGGATGCCATTGGCTTAGCACCCGTTGAGACTGAATGACAAACAGTATTACATGCCTCAAGCACATGACATGGGGGACTGTACTTTTCTCTGTGGATTCTGTTTCCAGCGGGTGGCTTTTCATTCTGCGGTGCCTTTCTAACCCAGCTCTTATTTTGAATGCGTATTTGGATGCAACTTTACAAGACTCTAGAGTCCTTGGGCTTAGGCTTCTTGACAAGAAAATGCATTTCTTTGCTTAAAGTTTCATGTCACTTGAAGCAACGTGCTAGTCACATCTTTGCAAAAAAAATTCCCCCAGAAGAACCAAGTACCAATACTTGTAGTCATTGATTCATTGAATAAGTATTTTATGTGCCATTCACATATAAGATGCCCATTAAAAATAAGCTTCTAGGGCAGGGGAGGTGTACCTGTTCTCAAGATATTATGTGTCATTTTTGCAGAGGACCCAAGTTCAGTTCCCAGCACCTGCATCAAGCAACATACAACTGCCTGGAACACCAGCTCCAGAGACGCCCTGTTGACCCTGTGGGCACCTGGGTTCATGTGCGCATTCCCACACACAGAGACATGTAGACTCATACTTAAGATGAAGTTTTTTGGTTTTTTTTTTTTTAAAGCACTTTTGTATTTTGAAACTCAAATTCCTAGTTGTTGATGTTGCATACAATGTCCTTCCTTGCGCACACAGAAGGCCCTTCTTACTGCACTGTTCTTGAAGTCAGAGCCCCATGAGTAAATAAGTCTGTTATTAACCTCCTGAATTAAGAGCCCATACTCTTGATTCAGACAGACTGTGAGTCTATCAAAACCCGAGTGTATCTCACCCTGCTGCCAAGGCCAGAGAGGCTGTAGTCCCCTGTGGCATGTTTTTCTCATGGAAGCAAGCAGAAACATGATGGAAGGCCTAGTTCAGTTATGTGCTCGAGGGCAGTTTGAAAGGTGGAACAGTCTTCCCAGCCTGCCGAAGTAGTCAACCCTTGAATACGTTGTAATTCTAGAAGGTAATCTTAAGTCAGGTATCTGATAATCAGAGTAATTATTTTACAGAAGCAGCATTTATTGTCGTAGTGTTTTTATTTAGTTCACTGTTGTGCTGGTGACTCTGTTGCTCAAGCAGAACGGTGGACAAATTTTTAGCTACCTTTTCCAAGACTTTCCCCCAAGGTCCAGCGTTCACACACTTTATTTGCTGTGATGTGTTTCACACCAGATGTTCTCTTTACTGCAGAAATGCCTGACATTTAATCCAGCTAAAAGGATATCTGCCTACGGTGCCCTGAATCACCCGTACTTCCAAGATCTGGAGAGATACAAGGACAACCTGCACTCTCACCTGTCATCCAGCCAGAGCACCTCGGAGCTGAACACAGCCTGAGGTTCCCCCAGGGATGCCACGAGCTCGTCATCTGAACGCATTGCTGGCTTCAAGTCCCCTAAACAAGCCTTGCAGAGCAGTTGAAGATTGCTGGCTGCGGGCCTTCTAGCTGCCAGCTTCTGGGTGGGCTCTGCCTCACCAAGGAAACCACCTAGTTTACTGTTCAGAGATCAATGCAAGAGTGTTTCCGGCTTTACGTTCGTACACTTGTTTGTTTGTCTTGTTTGTTTCAAGAACCTGGAAAACTTCCAGAAGAAGAGAAGCTGCTGACCAATTGTGCTGCCATTTTGTTTTCTAACCTTGAATGCTGCCAGTGTAGGATGAGAGTCCAGGCCCAGCTGAGTTATGACGTAATCTGCCTGCAGCTGCTGGGCCTGCTTTGGTACTTGTGAGTGTGTGTGTATGTGTGTGTAAGAGAGACGGGGAGGGAGGGAGAGAGAGACAGATCCCTGATCTTGTAAAGTGTTACTTTTTTTTTTGTAGACAAGAATAATTGAATTTTAAAGAGTAGAGGTGACTGTTAGTAATGACGACTTGTTCAGTGAAAGGTGATTCACAGTGGAGTCTTGTCCAGTTCGGAAGGTGGACCTCAATCCTCAGTGTTGCCTTCCTGTCCAAAAACTTTTGCTAGCAGTAAACAATAAAGGTTTAGACACCACAAAAATGGGGGGGTGGGGAATCCCCAGTATCTTTTAAGAGACTTTTTAAGGCATACATTCTTCTATTGACTCTGGAAAGTAAACTTACTGTGTCCTGAGTCCTATATATAGTACAGTAAGTACTTAATTGTTTCTTTTGTCAAAGATGCTAGAAGTATCTTACTACTTGCAGTAGATTTGAGGAGTGAGTGTACCTCAGATAGGTTTTAAAGATAGAGAGTACCTATATTTTCTGGTTTGAAATGTTATCATTTCCTTTGCATCTCTTGTTACTTTGTCCTTTGTTTTAGGGAATCTCTTCCTGCTCTGACCGGAGACAGGAATACCATTTAGGTCTCTCCACCTACCACCCTGGCGCGTCTGCCGCGTGCTGACCTGTGTAGTGCCCCCCAATCCATGTTCCCGCCGTTGCCTCGCTAAGGACAGACTGCGCAGGTGCCCCCATCCCACACCTGCTTGCCCGCTTGCCCGTCTTCCGCCGAATGCTTTGCAGATGGCCTGGCTTTGGGTGTATGGCTCCAATTCTGCAGCCCTAACAGGATCCCCTGCGTCTTCTTAGTTCAGTCTTCCCACCTGCTGTCACTGAGGTCACCCAGGCAGAGTAGAGTGCTTGTTCTGCCTGTGACCAACATATAGATTGCTACCAACTGTCACTTAGCGTTTAATATTTTTATAGTGTATGTTGTCAGTTTTGTCTGAGGGAATGTCTTTTCCTCTCTTTTAGAGATAACTCTCTAAAGTGATCTCTCTGTCCATTCCCCAGGATGCGGGTTTTTGTTTGTTGGTTGGTTTTGTTTTGTTTTCTGGTGTCTCGTGCTCAGCCCTGCTTTCTGTGGAGCCAGCCTAGCCTGGACGTTATAAACAACTGTACCGTACTGTTCTCTCGTAGTCCTTTATATCCTCTGCCGCCTTTGCCTTATTATCCATGGCTGAGTGCTAAGTGAGCACGACTCCATAGAAGGTGTAGAAAGCAGCTTTGGGGAAGTTTAGCTGAGTTTTGAATCATGTTTGAGCGCACATAAGTAAAAAGTAGATCATGTTTCAGTGTAGAACTTTGAAAGAGTGCCTGATGTCTCACACAGTAGGCCAGGCTTCAGATGGTGTGTGTATATTATGAAGCCTTACTGTATTCTTTGTAGCTGAATAATGCATGTGATGGTTTTGTATGGAGAAGAAGCAGATGTCTTTCCTGAGAGCTTTGGAGTTTGGGAATCTTTTTTTTTTTTTTTAACATTACATTACATTCTTCTGATTCAGTATCTCGAGAAACAGGATTTTTTTAAAAAAAGCAAAATTTAAAAAAAAAAAAAACAGAAGCTAGACTTCGAGAATATTCTCATTACATCCATGCTGTCAACGCTGTCAGAGCTTGAGGCAGTATCAGACCAGAGCCTCTGGGACAAGGTCTACTCTAGGTCTTGCTGAGACGGTGAGTTCTGCTTTGTTATTGAACAAGGTCCAAAATGCAGACATTTTTGCTGGGGCCTAGACATCGAACATAAAACTCTCTGCATGGAAGCCTAACCCCTTTTATGTTAGCATCCATGTGATAAAGTGAAAATAATTTTGAGGGTTTTGCTTTTGCAAAAAAAAAAGAAAAAGAAAGAAAGAAAAAGTTGTTTTCCTTAGCTTTGCTCAAGAAAAACGCACCTATCCTAAACTGGAATCTTTCCATATGCTTTAGTGTTTTTAAGTGTAGAGTTTAACTTCATTTTTGTCAGCTGTCTTGGGCCAAATATGTCTAAGTAGTTTTATTTGGGCTTTTGGGGGTAAGGCAGTGGAAGGTGGACTTTAGTTTTTTGCCTTTGTGTTTGTGTGTTTGGCCTTTGGGTTTGCTTGCTTGGTTGGTTGGTTTGGTTTTTTGTTTATTTTGGCTTTTCTAGACAGGGTTTCTCTACCTAGCCCTGGCTGTCCTGGACCTTGCTCTGTAGACCAGGATAGCCTCAAACTCAGAGATCCACTTGCCTCTGTCTCAAGTGTGCTTGGACTAAAGGCATGAGCTACCCCCTCCCCACCCCAGCTTAGAGTAGTATTTTTAAATCATAAACATTTTGGTATTAGAACTTGGCGTATTGTGCCAGGATGGTGCAGAAAGGGCAACCCAGCCTCTCTGGACTTCACATCTGCCCCACCTCTCCATCCATAGGGGTGCTCTCTGGATATGTCTGTACTTCAGGCCCTCACCTCTGAAACCCAGTTTTCACACAAGAAGACTTGCCATTGGTCTCCTTAGTAGCACAGGGAAACATATAGTAGACCAAGAGCCTACTGTGTGCAGCTCATCCTTATGGCCTCATCCATTCACAAGTCTCTGTCAGAATCTAACCAGTGATTCCCTGAGAAGACCCTACTGCCCTGAGGTTCTGCTGAAGCAGCTTTCAGTAGGAATAGTTCAAGAATTTGCCTAATAGCTTCTGTTCCTCTGAATTTGGTTCCAGAGACTCTGGCATACACAGGACTGGCTGGAGTTACAACAATCTCTTCGAGAGGATGGGGTGGGTTCTCCAGTTAGACCCCCTAACCTCACAGGTTATCATGTGGGGAGGAATCCTAACCAGCCAACCTTAGAAACACAGTCCCTAAGTACCTGAGAGCACCCAGTGACCTGCAGCCTCCTACGTGGTCCCTCTTTAAAGAAGACAGGCCCTCAAGCAGTGGAGAAACTGTTCAATTAGCTTTGGGCCTTTTCTGCCCCCAGCTTTTCACAATTTTCTCTCAGGATCCACTCTGACCAGTAGACTTGAATTTAGCCCCAAGTGATTTACTAAAAACAACTCAGAAGCTCACTTAAAAATAGAATCTCCACTTGGTCATGCTAAGTAAAACTGAAGACTCCAGGATGTACTGGGTGCTGCCATCTCAAAGACAATACTTTCCTTTGAATAGAAAAGTGTGCAGTCGGCTCTGCAAATGGGATGCTAGCCAACCTGTTTGAAAAAGTTAGTAGCAAACATTTTGAATTTTAAAGTCTATCCCTGACTTGTTTTTTTAATTAACCATAGCTGCTTTCTTAACAGCTGTGACTACTAAAGCCAGTCACAGCCATTGTCACTGTGGGAGTCAAATCATGTCAACTTTCAAACATCACAGGTGTTTCTCTCCAAAGACCTGGTCTTCTGGACAAAACCACCAGCTTCCTTCCTGTGGACAGGCTCAGTCCAGTTACACAGGCCCACTGAGGCTGGCACCTACAGCCTCCCGCCTCGTCAAGCTAGGACTGCTTATCTCAAGCGTCTCAAACTCGGTTTTGGTTTTGTAGTTCCTGTCTAAGGAAATAAGCCAAAACTAATTCTTTTTGCCCTCCTGTCTTCTGAAAGAGAGGGGTTCCATTTTAACTGTTTTTCTCTACTTGATTTTTCAAATTTTTCTAAGTACCAAATTGCTTTTCTTTTCCCCCAAGCGCCTACCAAATACTATTACAGCCATTCCAAGTTAAAATGGTGGGGATGGAAGGTAGTTTGGAGTTGGGTTGGGTTGATTTAGGGCAGAAGTCAGTTTTAAAATTCAGTGTCCTGAGGTTTATGTGGGCTTTCCTCCTTTATCCCCATGTGTTTCACAAGGTGGTGCCTTCAGAGAAAACTTTAAACCTGACCAAGACTAAAGAGGTATTCTAGAGACATTACTCATAACTGTTTTTCTGCACATCTTTAACTATCACCTAGCAAGTTTCTTCTGATGATTAACAGCCTTCATAATATTCTGCAGCTTCTATGCTTTGCTTTTTAGCTAGGCTCTGAGTGACTGTAAGTTATGCTTGAGAGTGATGTTTAAGCAAGAAGGCCTTTACAATTACTTAAGGGACATTTTTTGATGCGCCCAAACTACCTGCAATTCTAGGACACACAACTAAAACCTTCCTCCTCCTTGGTGGGGGAGGGGCAGTCGGAACTCTCACAGCCCTTGACCTGTCTGCTGCAATTCACCCCTCACTCTCCGTGACCTTTTGACACTGTTTCATTTCTAAACTCAAGTGAGCAAAGGAAGTAGTGCATCCGAAATTGAGTATGCATACCATTATCTAAAGACCCACGGTGCTCTACAAATACCAAAAGAACTGGTACTTTTTACATGAGTACAAACCACAAGTGCAAACTCTTAAATTCCAATTCCTAAATTTTAGGTTTTCTATGCATATGAACATAACAGCTTAGAAAGCAATCTACATAAGGTTTTGGTTTTTCTACCCTCAAAGTCACTTTTATACTACCTTTTAAAGTCACTTTTTTTTCTTCCTCAGAGACCCAGCCCCCTAAGCCAAAAGTGACAGTACATTGGGGATGAACAAACACAGTATTTCTGTGGCACACCACAGCAGAAAGTAGTTTATTCCTTATGAGTGATAGACACACACACACAAAACCTGCTTTACTTCACTCCAGAAAGGCTGGCAGGC